ACCCAAGAAGAATTGCTGTAAAACTTCATAGGTTGATTATTAGATCCATTTTTCATCGACGAAATACCCAAGCGGTCTTCGTCGACTCCAGGAGAACCTCCTTGAAGGACCTGGAATCTCTCACTGCCATATTGGTGGTATGATTTTCATTCCGCGTTAGAAACAGCCAAAGCGTTACCTCTTTCATGGAACACCTTGACTTGGAACCTATCCATTAATCAACCATTTCCTTTTGCAACCGCAAATTGTGCTTCTTGCTATCTGTTGAACCGGACGAACGCGAAGGTAGTCTTTTTTATAAATTTTTTTTTGGCTATTATGAGTAGGGATGGTAAACGTGTATAATTTTGTAGATTCCGTACCGTATCCGTTTCAATTGGGGCAGGAATGGATATAATTTTAGTGGGTAGTGGGTGGGTGTGGATTTAAAAAGCGGTACTCGTTGCGGGTAGTAGACGGGCGATGAGTTTGAGACTTTACCCGCCCCGCATCCGCCCGCCCGTATCTACCCACCTACTAAATACCTATTAAATTTTGGACCATTATGAATTTATGTATAATTTTATAGACTAATTTATAAATCTTAATATTGTATAAGATATAACTTACGATCTAACCAAATATTATTATGTTTTTTAATGGACGTGCTTGTTTTATATTTGTTGCTTATGTATAACTTAAGGTTGTTGTCAGTTATGTCTAGTCGGGTACATCTCCAGTTGGGTAGTGGGTGTGGGATGAATTTGAGAATCTACCTACGTAGGCGGGTGTGGATTTAAAAAATTTTACCTATCATGGATTTAAGAATCTACCTACGTGGACGGGTATAGAGATAAGGGAGAGGGTATTCGCACCTGACCATCTGTTTACCTGTTTACCATCCTTAATTATGCGTAATAAAGACTCGAACCGCCCGTACACCTAAAATGCTTCTTTCAACGTGGTGGAATTAATTCTCTTGCTCACGTTATCCAAAAAAAAAAACTATGAAACCTAATTGACCGCGCAGAACAAATTGGGGGTGAAAATTAAAAAATATATATATAATTTTTTTTTAAACTCATCATATTGAGGTGATAAATTCTAAAAGAATATAATTTTTTACTAAAATTTATCACATCAAAGTGATAAGTTCCAGTAATTAAAAATATTTTAATAGAAATCGTCATGTTCATGTGACGAGTTATAAGCCACGGTATCAAATGACTTAATTTCTAAAATAAAATATCTGATGCTGGTATCAAGTTGATTTTACCATATTTGTATCTACTAAGTTCTATCAATTAAAGTGATAATTATCATATTATAAATGTAAGTCGAATAGCCCAATCTAAAATTTCCTTATAATTATTTGGATAAAGAAATATTCATAAACAGAAACAAAGGAAGTTTTTTCCTAATGACAAAAAAAAAACATTAGTACTACAAGTTCTGATCCTTAAACTATCTTGTTGTTGTATATTGTGAGGCTTCATGGACCAAGCGGCAACGACTTATTATGTATGGGAGTAGTCTTCTTACATTGACATAATCCATCAGAAATTTTCTCCTTCCCCCATCTTGTCTTCTTCTCTCTTCCTGCTTTTCTTTCTCTGTATGTAGGAACCATTCTTGTCTTCTTCCTCTCTCCGCTTTTCTTTCTCTGTATGTAGGAACGGAAATATTTTATGTTAGAAGGAATCAAATTTTAAAATTTTAGGGGATGCGGGCCTATAAAATTTTAGGGTCATAGAATAGATTATGAATAAAATATATATAAAGAATATGAAAATTTTGAAATTTGAAATTTTAGGATGGACGAGTGCCCGTTTGCTCTCCTTCAGTCCATCCTACTTGCATGCGTTGAACCCAGATTTTGTTCAGCACAAAAGATAAAACAAAGGACTTGAAAACGCGATTTGTCATGTTATTTTATCTTTATTTCACCTGAAACATGTTCCTGTTCTTGGTGCTTGGTATAGAAAGTGAGCTACAGCTACATTTCCTTTTAACTGGTGAAGCAGAAATTGCAGATTAGTCAAGAAGGAGATTGTAATTTGATTACGAGATGAATATGTTTATCTAGATGGATTTACTGGATTCTTGGGCGAATCTAAGCTTCCTTGGAAGTAGTGTTTGGAGAAATCTGAACTCTTTTGCAGCTCATAAGTGAGAACACGTTGTTAGATAATGAGGAAGTGATTAGGAACATAAACCTTTGTGTTTTACCTTGTTCATTTGATGATTGCAGGTGGATTTGCAATGAAAAAAAAGCTGAAATAAAGCACAGTAATGAGATTCCTCTCAGCTCCATATCAGTTTCTCTCAAGATTTTTCCTTTTTAACATTGAGCGCAGCTTTCTAATTTTCTGACCATGGAGTTGATTTTATATAGAGAGAAACCCCATTTACAAAGAGGAAAGAGAAAGAGAAGAAGAAGAAACATAAACCTTTGTGTTTTACCTTGTTCATTTGATGATTGCAGGTGGATTTGCAATGAAAAAAAAGCTGAAATAAAGCACAGTAATGAAGATTCCTCTCAGCTCCATATCAGTTTTCTCTCAAGATTTTTCCTTTTTAACATTGAGCGCAGCTTTCTAATTTTCTGACCATGGAGTTGATTTTATATAGAAGAGAAACCCCATTTACAAAGAGGAAAGAGAAGAAGAAGAAGAAGAGCAGACACGAAGCACAAAAAATGCAGAGGTCCAAAACACGTAATTACAAGCGAAAAAATCATAAATATTTACTTGCTTTTTAAGAGGCTTCACACATGATACAGGTCGTTTGATTACTAATTAAAACATTATTTAATTAATTACTTTAATAATCACCTTAAATCGATGTCAATACCAAATATTTCCCTTTGTTTTATCACCTAAATCGTGCCATCTGACGTGCAACATACTCAAAAGTTTCATCTTTCTAGGACGGTCGAATCATACTCAAGAGAGCGTTGAACCATATTCAAGAACTTCACCATCTTTTCAAGACCGTTGAACCATCTACCCATCATTCATTCAAGTTCCAAATACAATTGAAACTCCTTCACCATCCACGACTAAACCAATCAAAACTCGAGCCATCATCAACAATCTCATTCGATCATCGTCCACAGTCATAATCATCAATAATAGTAGATAATAAATAACAACAAAAACAAGTAAAGAAATAAAGAAAAAATAAAAGAAGGAAAACTACCCATCTCAATCTTGGTGAGTTTTTGATGATGATACGATAGTCGGTTAATCCCAATAGCAAAAAGGTCTTGCTCGACCAACATATTAACATGGTACAATTTCAAGCTAATTCAATGATTGATTGTTGGATATCAAAAAGTTTTAGCTTTTAGTTTCACTTGAGATTTGAGGAGATTGAAACATTTTTCAACAAGTTTGAATCAAAAGAAATAAAGAATAGAAAATGAGGAATAATTCGATGATCTTTTTTTTTATTGGAGAAGCTACCAAACGACTACAAAAGGATCTGACGATGAGGTTTCAATTGGCCTTGGACAAATCTAAACAGAGAAAAAGAAGAGATGTAGTGACGACGTTCATTGAAAGAACGTCAGACGGTGATGACATAGGTGATCTTAGCGATGGCTGTGTGCAAGCTAAGGATATTTTTATGAAAAAATGAAATAAGAAAAATAGACTTCAACGTGTCACATTACCTTTTCTTAACAACAACGGAAGGATGTGATCACAGTAATAGCAAATTAAAAGTTCAATGATTGTATTATAAGTTTTAAACGTTTTGTGACTAAAATACTAACACCGTAGAAGTTTAGGTATTCACTTATATAATTTACCCTATAATGTAATCTAATCTAATCTAAAAAGTATTTTGCTAACAAATATTTTAAAACGGTAATTATTACCAAGTGCCTTGTTAAAAACCTCTCTAATCCTAGTGGAGGAAAAATAGTACACGTAATAACAATACAACAAGGACACCAAAAGTACCAAACAAGCAACGCCACAAATCTTCACCGCTCAGGGACCAGGAAAACAAAGCCTAGGATCGGCTATTATCCTCATACAGCATGTCAAGGATTTCATTAGGGGAGATAAAAGAACTGAGTTTCAGTAATCTCCGGACCAGCACTCTTCGCTAAACAAAAAATTGAATGACACATTGGAAGAATACAAGGCAGTCAAAAAAAAAAAAAGGTAAAAGAAGACAGGGAAATAATGTTAATTTTGGTGTTTGGAAGTAAGGCTTTTGTTGTTCAAGACAAAACACGTGCATGTGTAGTAGAATCTATGAAAGGGAAATGAAGAATGAGGACAAGATTGTCCGATAGCCACGAATGCCTGACCAACATAACCAATTAACAGGCCTAAACTATCATTATGATGATTAATTATTACTTATATATTAACAAATTGTTCAGTTGATAAATGACCCTTGCATCAAGCACCCTTTAACATAACGGCATCCTATGCTATCATATTTGGTTTTTTTTGGGTGAATGCATGGTATAAATTCATCCTTATATTTGAGCATTGTTGATAAGAGAAATAAGACTTTGGTAGTTGTTTATGGTTTATCTCTTCTGGTTTGGACGGAGAGTCGTGGATGATTATTCAGTAGAAGAGAGAAAGAATAAGCAAGTTAAAGATGATAATTTATATATAGGAGTAAATAAATCTGTTGTCAGATAATAGATTTACCTAGCAGATCACTTGGATATGTCAAAAGACTGTAGCTAACTAGAGGATATGAAACTTCATAGACTATAAGATTCGATAGACAAAGAAGTGATATGAAATTGAAGATGTGACTTACATAGGAAGTCAAGGAAGTACACAGTATGTTAAGGAGATGCAAATATTTTAAAGAAAATGAAGAGTTCAAATAACATAGATCCTACTATCACTTAAATCCGGTTAACTCCTATTCTCTGTTATTTAACTGTCTTCAAGCCTCCTTACAAACTTGGTCTTATCATAATCATAAAGCATGTTTGTGTCGAAACAAAAAGTCTTATGAACATGAAAACCAAAACAAAACCAAAACCAAAAACAAATGCTACAATGATATGTGAATATTATAGGGTATTGCTTACAGCTCAATTTGCATGCATGAGATTGAAACTCCAAGCATGACACTCTAAAACCTACTGCCAATTACACGGCTAGAAACAGATAAAAGAGATGATGTATATAACTTGATAAGCGAAAATAATAAAATTTTGTATAACCTACGATAGAATTGAACTTTTCAGAATCTACAGCAAAGAAGGCTCTGCCGCCAACCCCCATGCTTCCGGTAATCTCCTATCGGCTTTTTGCCATTCTTACTGGACTGCTATCCATTCAGTCTGCAATCTGAGAAAAAAAAGGTAATAGTTAGTTGTGCATTGGTTATAGACGAAGAACTTAGGAGCAAAAACAAATAGTTGCCGGTAAACTACATTGGGAAGGCGAAGGAATGGGTGCTGGTTGTGGTGCTATCGGATCGAAGAGAGAGACTGCCTGAATACGCTATGGCCCAGAGTAACTATTAGACCTGTTATCTGTCCTGCAGCAGAGAAACTAGACTCTCCATATTCACGTTGAAGATGTTTGAAAAAGGCAGGTCAGTTGAACCTTCAAGCTTGGGTGTACCTCCAGTCTCGGGAGGTTCACGGTCAGATTGGCATCCCTCATCTTTGCCATACATTGGTGGAGAGTGAATAAGAGCCAAATGCGATGCTTTGAGCCGCCAGTTTGTTATCATCACATACCTCATCGACAAGGCCATTGGTAGATTTCTCAGAAGCGAGAGGCCTGAGCAGGACTAAACCTGGTAGCTTCCTCTTTCCACTTTCCAGTTCTTCAGCTACAGAGCCGGATGCAGCAGCAGATAGAATTGTTTGCCTGCCGCAAGTGTTTGATTCATCTGCAGAAACCAAAGGAGGTGTCACAATGACTTTTTCCCTTGAATTCTGCATAAAAATCAAAATGCATCCAGTTATTTCTTAAGATGTGAACCTAATAGATTCCAAATTACATTACAATTTTGATGGAAGAAAATAATGATTTTTTTTCTTGCTTTATCTTTTAGCATAGAGTATAATTATTAGAAAAGTAGCGCCTTTGATGCCAAATTCAAACAGAACGCAGAAATTAAAGATAGAAGATAAATGCTGGTGCTCAATTCCATTACTTTCGTAATCAAAAGCCATGGCTTTGGAATTCACAGTGCTCCATTCTGGCATGGAAAGTAAGTCTCCAAGGGTAAACACCTCTTTGGGGACATCATTTGTGCTATTTTCATGTATCATCCTTATTTCCGTAGTCAGTATCGAATCCTTAGAATCATGTTGACTAGGATTCCCTTGTTAGCTCATTTTCTTCCAGAGATACGGAGACATATTCGTTCTCAGTATCATCGCCAGTTTGATTTCTTGTGGTGGCACAGACCAACTTGCATAAATATATCTCTCTGATTTTCTTTCGTCATTTTATACCTTGATCGTTTTCAGAGAGAGAAGAAGGAATTGTTCTTCTCATCCACCGCTGTCAAACAAGAACTTGTCCTGAGTTGGAACCCTCATCGATGCAGATGTCCTTGACTACATGATATTCTCTTTATAGCAAACAACCAATTCAGGCAATGCACATTCCATCACACTTTTGTCCATATAGAAAACCGAGTCCTGAATGAATCCAGACTGTTCAAAGAACGAGAATTTGACGTCACGAAATCTCTGGCCTCCTTTCATCATCATTGGCAAATTCATTTACACTCATAGAACAATCTAGCTTTCGTGCCGGCCATCCATTCCCCGTCTTCTCTGAATCCCCATCGTTTCCCTTTTTATCATGCATTAGTCCATTCTGATCACCCTTCATAATCCTTCTGCATTCAGTCCAACGTAATCCGGAGGCTTTTCTTCGTTCTCGAAAATTACGGCAATCCACTATATGCACCAAAAATTAAACCCCTAAGACCAATCCAAATATACACAACAACAGTGAAGATGATTCATGTTAGGCTCACCAAGGAATCTTCTTAGTAAGTCCTAAAATACAAAAAGAAAGAGGGAGAAAAGGAAATGTTTAACTTTTCGAAAAGCTTCCATAAATTTTAAACCCCTTTAAACCGATTTTAAAACCCTAATAAACGAACCATTTCCCCTTTTTCCCATCTCTAATCAGATCTAACACATCGAAATTATTTTATAACAAATCCCAGATTGGTTTAACTCTCAACACATGAAAAACAAGTAGTGAAAAACAAAAATAGAATAACAATGATCTGAAGAAAATCACAGCAATACAAACCCCAAAAAACAGGGTAAACAAAAAAATTAAAAGAAGTTTTAGTTATGAATTACCTTTCTTTGTTGTCTTCTCCGTTGATTAAGAGCTCGAACTTCCACCAATCTTCACTGCAAAAAGCCAAGTAAAAACAGTTTGTAAATGAAATGAAGGGGATCTAAGATGGAAGAAGCTTCGTGTGTTTTCAAGAGCGGATTCTCACAGCAGAAGAAAGCAAGAGAGTAGAACAGAAAGTGAATAAAAAATGAGAGACTTGTAATCATCGGGGGGAAAAGCATTGTAATAAAACGGGTCAAAAGTCAAATCTCTACATGTATCTGCTATTAATTGCCATGGCAAACCAAACAAACGGCCCTGTTTTCTTTTTCTGATCTTTTTGGGTGGGTTCTTTCTCCTTCACAACAGCTCTTTCATTTATTACACTCAGTTCTGGCATTAATTGTTCCCAACCATATTTAGAACTTATTAAACACACCGATAACGCCGCTTTACCTGATTTTTCAAAAGAAATTGGATCAAGTTTTCCTTCCAACCAAACAGCAGCAGGAAAAAAAACCCAGAACAATCTTATTTAATTTTCGAAGCCGACAAAGGTGTCCGAAATCTGTAGCTCTGTTCTTCAAGTCAAAAGCATTTGTTGTTGTATTCCGCCGGAGAAATCTTCTGTGATTTGTAGTAATAAAAAAAAAAAAAAAAAGCCGGCAGAGGGAAGAACAAAAGGGAGTTTCAAGTTTACTGTGACAAGTGATGATGAGATTGCTGTGATTTCGTCTACACGTGTTCAGTTTGATAAAGCAGGGCCTAATTATGATTTTAGTCCTTCTATTGTACTAAATTTGAGATAAATCTATATTTTAATTTGACATAATTTACTTTTTCATATTATTCAATCATACAATGAAAATAACGTAGAATCATGTTAACCATTTTTAAGATTTGTTGTACTTCCGCCAAAATGACCCTAAAAATCACCTCTTACTAAAGGATCTTTGGAAGATTCAAAGTATTTTTGATTCTTTGACATCTCGAGAATTTCGAAAAATATAAAGAGAGAATCTCTGAAAGAAAAGCCTCAAATGTCTAACGTCTCTTGGGAAGCTGTTATCTTTGATTGGGTGTGTAAATTACTCGATTCGGTTGATTTGATCCGTCGATCCGCCGACCCGGATTTAAAAAAATCGGATAATTCTCTAAAAAAAATTACCCGGCCGGGTCGGGTACCCGGCCCGACATTTCCCGGGTCAGGCCCGGGTCACAAAATCTAGTTTTTCCGGGTACCCGGTTACCTGAGTACCCGGTTAGTTTTTATTTTTTTTAATTTTTTATATATAATTATATAAAATATAATGAATTATTTATATTATGGATTATTATATTTTGTATTTCGAACTTTTAAATTTTATGTTCGGATATTAGAGTATGTAATTCGAAGTTTCGAAAATTTAAATTTGTGTATATTTTTTTTAAATTAATAATTTGAAAATAAAAAATTAAAAACCGGGTATCGGGTACCCGATTCCCGGATACCCGCAAAATCCGGGTACCCGATTACCGGGTACCCGTAACATCCGGGTCGAGACACGGGCCGAGAAATCGTCGACCTGGAAGTTCCGGGTACCCGGATTTACACACCCCTACTTTTGACACAGGGTCATCTCTAAGTATGGGCAAAAAGGGCATTCGCCCGGGGTCCCTTCTTGCTTAGGGTTTAAAAGTATAAATTTATATATAGCTAAAAAAATAAATTATTTATGTAGTCACTTATTTATTACTTTATTTCTATTTTGGTCATCCAATTATTATTTTTTAAATCATACTTAACGTTACATTTTGTTTCTTTTTTTATTACTCACCATTAAAAATCAACAATGATATTAATGTGACGTTTTAATAATTATTTTTTCACTTTTCACTTACTCATTCTTTTATTATTTTTTTGACAAAATACATAATCTAACATGTACCCTCTTAAAAGAGGATTATGTTTGTTTTGTATGAGTAGTTGGGTGTTTAATAAAATTGCTTAATGTTCTCTGTTTAAAATTTAATGTATTTATTAGATAGCTAATTAAACGTAATAAAAACTAATTTACAAATAATTTTATTTAATTTTACTTGTTCTTATGATCCTTTTTTTTGTAATACTTGTTATTAGGGGCCTAATTTTTATATTTGCCTCATGCCATTAAAATCTCAGAAAATGGGCCTATTTTGACATAACTTTTAACATACTCACTAACCTATCAGAACCAAATCCATCTGAATAAATCAATTTAAATTATTAGTCTACAAGTAGTCATCATGTTCTTACGTCTCACACTAGCACTAGTAGTCATTATAAAATCCATCGACTAAAACCGAGAGAATGTCGACTACCTAAATAAAACCACTTGACTAAATGAAACCACCTCTTATGGTTTGGCTGAACCGCTAATAATCGACATAACCCATACAATCTCATCAACAAATGGCGTAATAAGCGTAGAACACCTCATATTAAAAGAATAATCGGTTGAAATGCACCTTCAAGGTAAAATAACCATCATCATCCAAGAGAATATCCCTAATAAATAATAAGAATAGAGTGACTTGTTCTACTCACTAAGCTCTCTCTTTCATGGCACATCGGAAAATAAAGTGACATTTGGCTAACTGGTTCGTGCGACCCTTAGTTGCTTTGCTCGGTTGCTGGGCTCTAAGGTAGCCTTGATTCCTAAGTTTGGTTGCTTAATTTGTTGCGAAAGTAAGAACAAATTGAGTATAAACAGAAATAAGAGATGCAAGAGAGTATTTGGATTGAAAGTCGGGTTAGTCTTATTTTCAAGAGAATGAATGAATACAATGGGGGTGGGGAGGCCCCTTTTATAATGAGAATCCCCTAAGAGTTAATGACTAAGTATACTTTTTACTCTAACTAAAAGTATATCCTTACTTTAGTTAAAAGTCTAAAGGTTGAATCTTACTTAAACAATGATGGTTACTTTGTCTCTTTTCTTTGAGAATGATGGTCTTGGCTTAGAGACGGCTCGATTCACAGTGTGCTCGGCCTTATCCAATTCTGGTGCGGGCTTGGTGTGTTTTGGGGCAGACTTGGCACGCCGCCAGATGTGTCTGGGCTTGGGAGTACTTTTGTGCGCACGGATGTGCACTAGTGGATGTTAGACTCGCCCTCATAGTCGCAGTCTGTGATATTCTCCTCCACTAGTTCTAGTGACGCCATCGTCACTTAGCTTGAATGAAATTGTTTGATTTTGTCATTGAATTGCCATAGGGCTTCGATAGGTTCCCTGATATGATCTTGGTTATATGTTTCGAGTCATATATGAGAATGCCCGATCGTGATTAGAAAGAACTTCGTAGTGCTTTGATTGAAGACTGAAATGTACAAACAATGTCATTAGAAGGTAAATATGTATATAAATATGTGTATGAAAGTAATGGAAATGATAGAATGAAGTTGAAGTGGATTGTAA